GTTATATAATGTTTTCAACTCGTGGAGTGGAGGTTCCATGACAGCAAGGATCTCATCTAAATTATTCATGTTTGAATTCCCAGTGCTTCTCCCAGAGTGGGTGCTATAGTTCTATTTCTCAAATTAAAGCATGCACCATTTCTGAAATGCAATACAACAAGATTTGAATCTTGCCTCTTACTAGCCGTAGGGATTGGAGGCAAATAAACTTTTTCAGTTTTGGATTCTTTATCTGAAAAATAGAAACAACAATACCATGCTAAATGAGTTGTGTAAGAATTAAATTTTTAAATCTATATAATGTGTTTATTACAGTGCCTAGCTTATAGTAAATGGTGAATAAACATTAATAAGCATTAACTATGCTTGTTCTTGCAGCATGAATACCTTTTCCTATTTTATCTCTCTTTTCCATGCTCTATATTTCTGAAGCTCCTAGAGTAATGCTCCCTCCGACAAATAGTTTATAGAGCTTGAAACCAAGCAGCATAGCTAATAATTTCATTAATGAATGGATTCTGACATTTCCCTCTTTCCCATGTTTATGCCTTTGCTGATTAACAGGAATTGAGAATTCAAGTAAACATCTAGCATTAGGACAGTAGGAAAGACTCTCATCATGAGGGTAAAGAGATTTTGGATGTTGACTCACCCAGGCGGGCTGTCTACACTAATCAGTTCACTGGATTCACAGCTCTCCACTTCATATGTGTGGATGTACCCCAGGTGTTCTCATTGATTATATGCCACCTATCTTCTCCCTGAGATTTTAAGCCTAAGGGTGATATGATTAAAAGAGATTGCACAGAGAAATTTCTCTAATGTTTTGATGTAAATCTTATGTTGTAAAATACACTACTGCAGCCACTTGCAAACATCGAGGTGTCAGTTGCATAGGATGTGCAGTGTGTTCATGTGATGTGCCACTGAGCAGATGACTAAAGCTCAGAAGTGTAATTGATCAAGGAGAATATTTATTGCAGGAATGCTGAGCTTTCTGCAATAAATATACTCCTGAAAGGTTGTATGTAAATGAAATGACTGCAAATTGAATAATTTAAAAGGCATTAGGGGAGCTTATTACTTAAATAAATCCCCTTGTGACTCTTCAAATCTAAGAATCCTTTTGTAATGCAAAGTATTTATCTTTTTTGTTTAAATATCAATTTTTTACATATTATGTTTTCTTTTTTTTTAAATTGAAGTACACCTGTACTAGAGAAACAAACAGTAACTGATTCAAGGTTGCTGTACCTACTGTTCCCTCAGCTTCAAGCTTCCTAACTGTTGTGCCAAGAATTGGGACCAGGAATGCCGGACTGTTGATTCTCTTGGCCTCATGGATTCTCACATCCTGTAGAGTCCAATGGCCTGGGTCATCCACTCAAGCGAGGACTTATGTGTTTGTGCTCATTTACTGTGGTGCTCAATACAGATATTTTCTATTTGATAAGGTCAGGGATCACAACTCTAAACTTCATCTAGCAGCTCGGCCCCCCTCCCCCATCTTAAGGGCCTTCCTTCATCTTCTTTGTTATTCTTTCTTTTCAGACCCAGTTCTTTTCCTTAAAACACTTATCAAAAGTTGTAATTAGATATCACCCATGCAATTCCGTGTTAACATCTGTCTCCCTCATTGACTGTAAGCATTGACAATGTCAGTTTTGCTCACCACTGTGTCCTCAATGCCTAGCATATTGCCTGGCACATAGTGAGTATTTTATCAATGTTAGCTAAAAGAACTAGTAAGTGAGAAAATTAATAAATTGATGGAAGTTAGCTAGTTTCCATTTACATGGAATCCCTTGGAAATGGCCCTAAGTGATCTAGCTCTGAGCTTGCCCTCCAACCTCCTTCCATTCTTCATTTCTCTCAATTTGCTTCAACCCCACTGTCTTCTTGCTGATCCTAAAACACATCGATTTCTCTCCTGTGCTTGCTGCTTCCACTGGCTGGGGTTCTCTTCCCCATACTAGCATGGCTTAATAAACACAGAGAGGACTTCCTGGACTCTCTATCTAAAATAGCAGTTCTCAACATACTCCTTAGACTTGTATTTGTCTCCGTAGCACTCATCACCAAGCTTTATTGATTCTCTCAACCCCCAAGTGTAGGGTCCAAGTGGTCAGCTGTCTGTCTTACTCAACATAGTATGAATAAGAACCATGGCAAGACACAGAGAAGACACTGGGTAAAGAGTGTTGGCAGAAGGAAGAAATGTGTTCTCTCTTTCTTTTCCTTTTTGTGTTATTGTTGTTGGTCACATTAGTATCATCCCTCAGTAATTGTTCATGACAATAAACAATTTAATTTAACCTTCATATAACTTTAAAAAGTACTTTCATCATAGTGTCTCGATTTTTACTTATTTGTGTATTTAAGATGCCATTGTCCTATGACATCAGACAATTTATCATCAATGACCTAAAAAATGTGAAGAACTTAGAATCATATTCTCATCACCTATAGCCCAACAAGGAAGACATATTTGTAGAAATTATGCTAATTCATCTTGCCGTTGTCCTATGACATCAGACAATTTATCATCAATGACCTAAAAAATGTGAAGAACTTAGAATCGTATTCTCATCACCTATAGCCCAACAAGGAAGACATATTTGTAGAAATTATGCTAATTCATCTTGCCATCTAGTAATGCTAGTATCCCTTCTGTAATATGGGGGAAATATTTTAAGCCTGTGTTTCCCACATTTTTGAAGGTGCACTGTATTTTGTTTGATTTTGTTGTGTCTTAAAGTTCTATTTGATACTTATCAATAACATTAAGTAAAAAAATAAATTTAAAAAAATTTTGTAGTTTCCTTAGAATGTTTTGTAATATTCTAATTTGGAATATTCTTAATATTCCAAAGTACAAAAACAAATATATTTTTAAAAAACTAATATTAGGAAGTTTCATGTATTTTGGTTACATAGACAACCAATATGTTATAATCAAGACATTTTTATTTAAAGCTTCTATTGGAATTATTTATAACAGTGTCTTTTCTCTTTGGCTTCTTAGGTATTTGACTATGATTTTGGACTGCAGGATGACTTCATGGGTTCAGCCTTTCTGGATCTCACACAATTAGAGTTAAACAGGTAACTTTTGAACTGTTGTAATATTGCTACTCCTTGCTATGCAGCTAGGCCTGTGTAATAATAGAAAATGTCAGCCAGTCTGGGTTCTAGGCAACTAATGTTTTTATTTTTTATTTTTTTGGCGGCTGCCAGTATTAGGATCCAACCCTTAACCCTGGCATTACAAGGCTGCGTTCTAACCAACTGAGCTAACTGGCTAGCCCCTTGATCTGGGTTCTAGCTGCTCTTCTGTCACTTAGAGCTGTGAGCCTTCGTGCTAGCCAACCTTTCTCAAATCCATCTTTCTCACTACCCAATGGAATAATAGCATCTTCCCTGACTATCTCATTCAACAATAACTATTCAAGAGAAAAATTCTGTCCTTCAGCACTGTGATGAGTACCAGGAATTATAGAGATAAAAGACACATTCCCTTGCTCTCACATCATTCATATGGTTGTAATTGGGCATGAAGAAGATTATACAGGTTAATCATAATTATTAATTTAAGAATCAACTACCTTATAGGAAATAAAACATGTGCACTTTGCTCAAAAACAGCAACTCTTATCGCTAGAGCCAAGGCAGAATCTGATCTTGCCATGGCCAGTTCACCATCACTGGGTTACCAAGGAATGCTCCTAAAGGGGAGTCAGATTGGTGGTGTTTGCTTACGTACATTTTTACATTGTGTGACTACTTGCAAAGTTGCATTATTATTATTATTAATATTAATTATTCCTTTCACCTAATAAAGGGCTTATATTTTTCAAAATGCATTTCAACATATGAACTAAGAATCGATTAGTATTACAGAAGGAAAAAAATAGGTTTAAAAAAGGTGAAGCAGTGCTGGGATGGATCACAAAGGAAGCTGTGAAGTCTTTGATAGTTTTAAGGAGAAGGAATTCCTGTCTGTTTTGATGATCATGTTACCTCACATGGCAGGAATAGTGCAGAGCAGGAAAACAGAGTAATGGGCCAGATCACCACTTTATATTTCTGTAAATGTAGGTGAATAGAGAAATACAAATAGTAAAACCCCTGTATGTGTTATAATCAGCTAAGTTTGAGACAATGGCAGCTTATTGGTCTTCCAATGGTCATTTTTGCCTCAAACTGGCCAAAAGAGCAGCCTTTTCTACACATCTTCCATTCCAACCGAAGCCTAGCACAGGCTCACACCTCCCTGCAACTGAAGGAGGCATCCTAAATGGTGTTATGTGTAGTCCATTATCATGAAAACTGAGCTCAAATTAGAGTAGACCATGCTGTTCTTTTATAAAGGCCACAGTTGTTTTCTCTGTAGACCTCTGTGTAAGGATATGCAAATTACTGGACTTAATACCAAAGTATAAATTTCTATCATTTTCTATTAAAGATAAATCAGTGGTGAAAAATAATTTGAAATGAAATTATATGGGATAATTGAGAAAATTAAGAGATTATATGCAAGTATTTATTGTGTATGTTGTCAATTACAAATTTTATGTATTTAGCCATTCCCTACCCTCAAAACCATGTAAACATCAAGTTACTACTTTTTAAAACTCACATATTTGCATATGCGATTTTATTCTATGTATAAATCAGTCTCTGGGTGTAGAAAAAAGTGAATAATAATAGTAGCTATATGAATACTTATGCCACTATATAATGCATTAAGGTATTTCTTTTAAAGAAAATAATAGATAAGCATCACAAAGCAATTGCAAATGTTCTTAAATCTTAACCATGTTATCATTATAACAATTTAATGAAGTTTTTAAATTTTTATATATAATTGTTATAGAAAAATGAACCAAATTAAATTGTAACTCCATATATGTACATATTATATATGTGCACACACTCATACACTATAACACCTAACATGTATTTGTTAAAATAAAAGGAACAAATTGTTACTATCAGATCATAATGATTAGTTGTAACTAAATTAATATTGGAGCAATTTACATTATAACTATTTCAATTTATATGTGTTATCAGTCTAACAGGTTACTTATGGTTCAGTTAAAACCCTAACACCAGAAAATTGTTCATATTTTCCATAACATCATTTCTTGACTTGGTAAATTAAGCATCATGTGAAAGGTTGCCTAGAATCATAAAACCATAAAATCTTAGCATTAAAATGGACCTGTGGTTTTCAGGTTTTCAATCCTGGTCGTACGAGAAAATCATTTGGGGAGATTTACAAATACACAGACTTCTAGAACACACCCTGATCTACAGAAGTCATAGGAGTGGAGTTCAGGAATATGCATTTTTTAAAAGCTTCCCAGTTTGGGGAGATTTACAAATACACAGACTTCTAGAACACACTCTGATCTACAGAAGTCATAGGAGTGGAGTTCAGGAATATGCATTTTTTAAAAGCTTCCCAGTTGATTCTGATGTTCAGCCAGTATTAAAAATTTTTATTCGGACCAGATCCCCCCCAACCCCCCAAATCCTTTCCCAATTCTGGAATTTAACTGTATCGTGTACTAAAAGTTAAGTTCCATGAAGACGAGGATCTTATCTTGGTCTTGACCTCTGATTTTTACCCAGAACTTAGCACAGTGTGTGGCATTTAATATGTGTTTAATACACGTTTTGTAAATGAAATAAATGAGTGAACTACTGAACAAACAAGGGAACTTTCCTAATTTGCCAATATGTCAAGATTCTTTTGTTTGGGGCTGGATATTCCACAGATTATTAGGCTTATGGTGAGCAGTAACCCTATTTGTTCAACATTGATTGAAACATGCAAGCAGGACGCTACTTATGCACTGTCAGTTGCATGTGTATATTGCATTATTTTCTAACAGTCATTGTGGGTATTATTGACTTATTTATAATCTCTTCCTCAGAGATGCTTATCTAATTCCAAAGCCTATATTACCCAACTGTTATAAATATTTATTTCCTTGTCTTTCAAAATCTAAACAATGTCTAGGCATATGTTTAAACATCAACAAAAAAAAAAAAAAAAAAAAAAAAAAAGCATTAGCATTATTTTAAATATTGGATGTTCTTTTAAATAATTATGCATCATTTTTAAAGTATGTCTATAATGTACATCAGACAAGTTTTATTTTATATTTTCCTCTTCTCCCACTTACCTTTTTACTTTAAATCATTCCCCGGCTTTAAAAAAATTCTAAAGAACTAAAAGGAAAATTGTGGTCAAAAAATGACCCTCATTTAGTTGCTGGACTCAAATTTGTAGAAAATAGCTGGTACTGCTTTCTCTGGATGTAGAGGTGACAGAGAAGGGACTTACAGGTTTCTCAATAGTGTTGTGGTTTCTTGGACTTTTCAGCAACTTTCTAGAACCCCAAGAATGGCAGAAACCCATCCAGTGAATTCACACATACCCATCGGCCCACATTTTATTGGCCAACTTCATATATTAATGATATTTTGATAATAAAAAAAATTATACCAAGAAAGCAAAGGAAGACAAAATTGCTTTTCCTCTTAAAATAATAAATTATTGATGAAAATATGCTTTTGGCTTATTCGTTTAATGACTGTTCAAAATTTTTAATATTTTATATCACAGGCCCACAGATGTGACCCTAACTCTGAAAGATCCCCATTATCCTGACCATGATCTTGGGATCATTTTGCTCTCAGTTGTTCTTACCCCTAAAGAAGGAGAACCCAGGGATGTGGTAAGTTCCCCCGCAGCCTAGCAGGAGCTCTTTCTTGTTCTCACTTGTCTGATTGTTGTGAGCCTTCTTTGGACCCAGCAGTAATAATAAAGAGAAGCGGCGTATGAAAATCTGGCCTGTTCTTTGTTTCTGTGAGTATCCTGGGTATCGCTCGTCCATGCTTATTATACCTTTTCAACTCAAATTTCCTCTTCCACACTCCAGATCAGAACCTCTTGTTGTAAATATGGAATAGACTTGTATCTTCTATTACAATTTTATTTCTCAACTTCAGACATGTTATATTGTAGGCAAATATTGGTATTCATTCAGGGAATATGTTTATTAGTGAATTGAATATTTGGAATTCCACTTTGAGGTATCCAGACTCTACTATTTTGGCTGTATTGTCATATGCACCATCACAAAGAAAATGAGGTGAAATTATAACAGAGTTTCTGCTCTCTGGTATTTGTTCACTGAATGATGAGTGAGTATTTTTCATCTTCTTGATGGGCTTCTGTATCGGTATTACTCATTTATTTTGGCTGTATTGTCATATGCACCATCACAAAGAAAATGAGGTGAAATTATAACAGAGTTTCTGCTCTCTGGTATTTGTTCCCTGAATGATGAGTGAGTATTTTTCATCTTCTTGATGGGCTTCTGTATCGGTATTACTCATTTTTCAGCGCTAGCTGTCTGTACTTCCTTGTACACCATGCTGCTAGGAGAAATGACATAGGATGCAGAGGAGCCAATTACTCCCACACTCTTGAAGTGACGTTAAAAAATACCAGGTTTGACCCACATCAGTGTGCTTGCCAGTGCACATTCTGCCACAGTTTACCAGAGATTATTTATTAAACTGAATGCTTTCATGTACATGGGAACTACTCTAACTAGCTCTGATTGTAACACATTGTAGTAGTAGACATAATTTGTTTAGGCGAGTTCAAATGCTGTATTTCAACAATGTGGGTTTTGCTGTTAAAAGAATGCATGATTAAACTTGGGATATATTGTCTGCTGAAAAAGCATTATTGACATTTTTCCCTAGATTATAGGTAGAAATAATGAAATCCAATTTCAAATTTGGAAGTGTTCTAAATTCACACCTTTGAAGAAGTATTTCTCTCCATTCTTTTTAAAAATTAAAAAATGAGCACACAAATTCATATGTAATATTTGCTAAGTAGGGTTAAGTATCTATACTTAATTCACCAAGGAAAAAATTTCTCTTTTCCAACAGGTGTTACCAAACAATACCTGTGAGAACTTAACATGGTGAAATTATAGTGTGCAGATGCACCTTTGTGCAGATAGAAAGGTGTGTGGTGAAATTTTTTTTACAGAGAACATTTAGAAATGGGAGTCCATCATTTTAGAAACCACTAATTTAGAAGACGTTATTTTATCCAGCACAAGCCAAGAAGTATATCCTAGCTGGCTAGTCCACACATGGGAATACATTATAAATGTTCATTTTGTGCTTCATTCAAATAATCCTGGTATTCAACAAGAACCTACTACAAGCCAGTTACTATACTGGGCACTTAGGATGCAATAGAACTTAGATCCAGTGAAGACCTCAGGAATCAAATAATCATTGACAGAGATACAAAATAACTGTTTTAAGTGCCTTGAAAGAAAGGCACATGTTGCTGAAAGAGCAAACATAGGAACACTTGTTCTAGTCAGGGGGACAGGGATTCTATAAGGAAGTCAAATGGGATCTGAGGTGCAAAGTGTGGATAGGAGTTAATAAGGCAAAAAGCGGGAAGAGAGAAAGTATTTCAAGCAAAGAGAACAGCACATGCAAAGGTCCTGTGGCTAGAAAAACCATGCTGCATTCCAAGAATTGAAAAAGTACTGGAGCTTAGAGAAGGCAGACTCAAAGAGGGTGTGGGTGATCTTGGTACATGATGACATTGGCATGTACAGGAGATGCCCAGACTGTGGAGGACTTGTTGGCTATGTTAATGTTTTTGGTTCATTACCAAAAAGCAACAGGGAGCCATTGAAAGGTAGATAGGAAATGACATAATCATATTCGCTGTTTGAAATTTTTTCTGTAGCTGCATTGTAGAAAACAGATTGAAAGGGTAAGAATGGATGCTTGGAGACCAACTAGATTGCAAAATTCCGGGTGAGAAATGATGGAGGTTTGGATTAGACTGTCAGTGGTAGAGATGGAGGAAAATCAGCAGGTTTACCTGTAGGAAGTAAAATCAACAAAACTTGTGGTAGAATATTCTTACATAGGGGTTCTTTGTTATTTCAATGAAGGACAGCTCTTCATTAATAAAAATATCTAAGTACTTGAGGTCCTGTGAATTCCCAGGCCATGCAAACTTGCAATATTACTGGAGATTGGAATGATATAGCAGCTGTTGTAGTTACTTGTGTAATTTGATGATGGATAGTCTGCTGAATTTTTAGATTAAAGGGATCTTCTTAAATACTCTAACATCAAACTGTGGGTTTGAAGGCTAACTAGTTATCAAAAGATCTCATGATGAAGCTGTGGAGTTGTTCTAAACACAGACATGTATGTCAGCACAGGCAAAGTAGTTCCCAATATTATTTTTTCCTTAACAGTCTTTGAGAAATTCTTCAATCTCTATGGCTGCTCAGACTTATCTTTTAGGCATAATGTCTTTCTAGTTAGAAAAAGTCATTTAAAATATTACAGTACCTGGGAGCTGATCATCAGTAAGTTATCAAACATGAATAGGGAAGAAAACAGGTGGGTTACATGAAACAGTTATAGATGAAAAATCTGGTTTATTTATCTTCTTTTTTTCTTCCTTTTCCTTTGTCTTTGTTATCTTTCTCCAGCCACATTCACCCTTAACACAAAGAGTTCCTCCTGAAATCCTCAGGCCCTTTTCTTGATACAAATCCCTTTGACTACCCCAGACTTGTCGGAAGAAATCCTTTACGGCCAAGTATCTTTTCACTCACTGCCTTACTTCGTGCCCTCCCCTTTCAGAGTCCCAAAGAACACTGGCCTTATTCTGCTGTGTGAACTGGGAAATGAAGTCTTCTTCCTTTCCATTCCATTGTTGACTCTCCCTTGGCTAAGTTCTTCTTCATCACATGAGCACATAGATTATCCAGGGCTCAGAAAAGGCACAGTGGATGCAGTCTGCGCCAGAGCCAGCCTCTGGCTGGTAAACATATTTGTTCTTCCAATCCTGACCTCAGCCACACGTGAGAAGGCAGAGAGAAGGGCAACTGGTGTGGCTATCCTGGATTGTCCTTGCGATTAATAGCCAAGACATGGGCTTGGTTCTAGAGGAGCAAGCTGGATCAGGGGAGAGAGGAGGAAGGATAAATGACCTCCAAAAGGAAATTCTACCGGGATCCAGTATCCTAGCTATTCTGATGTCCTAGATTTGAATCTGGATTTTTAAGTAAATGCTTTTTTTTTTTACAATATGATAATTCCCAACAAATACATAGAAATTCACATTTTTTCTTTTTCCTGTTTGTCCTATATAGCAGTTATATGACTACTTTATTGAGTTCTCGAAAACTAGTTTTAGGCTTATCAGCACTAGTTTAGTTTTTAACTCTGTACAAAGATCATTTGTAGGTATCTATTTTTTAAAAAGACAAAACAGTTATTGATCATCTACTGAGCATTGTTCTAACTCCCTCATTCTTCTTCTAAGTATTCAGTGATCTGTGGCTATTTCTCTAATTAAATGTAAACTCGTGATGAGGTGCATCAGGGATCTCCAACAAGCAACATATATCTCCTCACTTGTAACTTCTGTCCCAGCCATACAAACTCCTTCACACTTCACCTTCTCTCAAGTCCAAGCTTTCATCAATGTCAATGTCACTTGTCCTACCTAAAATATGCCTGTATTTCACCTAACCTATCACTTCTACAGGGATACACAAACACACACACACACACACACACACACACCTTT